GGTCCTTTCTTTATGCTCCTGCTGAGTGAAATCACCCGCATTAACCGCTGTTTTTAAACAAAACCAGTTCATAAAATCATGGTGTAAGCTTGGTGGGTATAAATGTCATTTTATTTAGTGTAAGACGAGCTTGGATGGGGAAGACCTCTTGGCGGCTTCACATCCCGAGAAGCTGCCTGGGGAGAGGACAGAGCCCAAGGATTCTTCTTCCTGGGACAGTTGGCTCCGGGTCACATGCTCTTGAGGTCCCTGAAGGCCACGTGGGCTGCATTGCGTCCGGCCGCGCCCATGACACCTCCTCCTGGAAGGGAACCGCTCTGAACCCAAGTTTTGCTCAAGCCCCTCCTCGGCCCATCTGGGCCTGGCCAGGGAGGGGGCAGGGCTCGGGCTTGGGGAAGAGCCAGAGACTAAACAGAATGGGGGTGCTTGCAGGGTTGTGCCAGAGTCAAGGGGTTTGGGGGCCCCACTGTGTTGCCTGCAGCAGGGCTCCTGGTGGGCCCCAGGCGGCCAGTTCCAGCTAGTGTCCCCTCCAGGCCTGAGGGGCCCTTGCTAGAACGGGAGACCCTCCACTCGCAAAACTCGGGTATGAGGCTGAGGGTGTGAGGGGAAGATGTGGCCGACACAACAGAGCCTTTCAGGGAGGAAAAGGCCCACCAAGCCCCAAGTGCGGACAGGAGCAGGAGCCTGGGGGGCGTCCATGAGGCTTGGGATAGGTGCAGGGAAGAATTTCAGAACTGAAAAATTGTACAGATCACTACAGAGCTGAAAGAGAGGAGGGGAGTTTAGGAACATGGGCTTCTCACAACCTGAAATGGGAGTTTGCAGAGTGGGCACAGGCCTCAGACCCCAGGAGGAGGAGGAGGTGGGCACCTGTGGGCATGGCCAGCCTGGGGGAAGCCCTGAGGCTCCTGTGCTGAGAGGCCCAGTGGGGGCTGGGCGCCTTGTTCTCCTGGGCGTTCCCTGGAGGCCCCTGGCCTCCCTTGCTGCTTATCCTCTCCCACTGCCTGCAAGCCGCTGACCTCCAGTCCTCGCAGCACACACCGGCGGGGTCCCAGAATCACTCACTGGGATGCGCCCCACTCCCGCAGAGATACAGGCCGCGGAGAGGGCAGCGGTAGTTGGAGTGCAGGGGCACGGGGCGGGCGAAGTAGAGCTGGCTCAGGGCCATGGCACCGTGGAATATGTTCTGTGGAGGCAGGGCGGCGGCGTTAACGCGGGGAGTCGTGGTCCTTACTGCTTGCCTGGGTTTGCGTCCCTACCCCTCTTCTCCAAGGAAGGTTCTCCTTCCAGCATGTTTCCATGGGTTGTTAAGATGCAGAAAAGAGAGACAAGAGAAAATAGGTGTTTGCCCTAGAGCTGGGGTGAAACTTCCCTGAGGCATTTATCAGGCAGAAAGAGGGTTAAGGAACATCTTCGCAAACTCAGTGGGAAAATTTAGAGCATTTGCTGTGGACGAGAATCCCCTTGCTCTGAAAATATAAGAAATTTGATGTAGGCTATGCTACCCATGCTGTGTCATGACAAAGTCCGGGCAATGGGGGAGACTCCCGAGAAGATGGAGGCTGCTTGGTTCCCAAGATCTACTAAGGGGAGTCTTTGTTCCCAAGAAGACATACTAAGCGGAGTCTCCGTAGCAATGCTTACTGAACTACCCTGTACTTGTTCTTGGCTGATAGCAGTTGTACTTGACCACCAAGCTATTCCTGGCCCTCTTTGTTTGCGGCCTAATTGGACATCAAGAACTGGTTACAAAAATTGTTTAACAATTGACAATGGTTTTCTCAGAAAAGTACCTTCACATAAATCAAGAGTGTAGATTGTCTTTAGGAATATGGATAACATGATCAGGATGTGCCTTTTCCTGGGACAGTTTGGAGGGACTTAAACAGATCTGAATTTAGATTTAACCTGAAAAAGGGTTGTTCAAAGGAGGACTTAACGATTGGCTGCTTTATTTGAGATGCTGGCCAGAATGATTGATCATGCTGAAAAAATGGGGAAGCCGATTGTTATTGGTGGTTTTCATTCTAAGATCAGAAGAGCTTCTTTGTAACATGCAACCACACAAGTTTCGGTGTAGCCATGGAAATGAGTTGTTAAAGGTTTGCTTCGATGCCCACACTGATGTAATCTCATCCGCTTGGAAATTGTTTAAATCAAGAACGGCTGGAGTTTTCGGCAGGAGACACTTGCACCAGTTAGAGTGTCAGTGTTTGCCTCAATTGCTCATCTCGCCGATGCCGCCTCATCCTTTGGGAAAAACACCCCTGACTGGCCACCTGTCAGAGCTGGACTTTGACATCTGGCGTGGTTTCCGACAGAAATTGATTTTTTTGTCGCTGGTACATGTTTCTGCTGGAACGTGTCTCTTTGGTCCGTGCTCCCACAATTTCAGAGATGGTAGGCCGGAGAGAATGGCTCCGAGCTGGGATCGGCTGCACTGGCCGTGCACAAAAGGAGGAATATGGGACTCGGGGAAAATCACAACCGCGAGGTCTGGACAGGAAGCCCACCGGGAAGAGCAGCAGCGATGGCAGCCGGCTGCCCTTCTGCCGGCCCCTTCTAAGCTGAGCCTTAAGTCGTCTGCTCCCCACTCTGCTCTGCCCAGGGGCCGACACTCCCGCTCCTTGGCCTCCAGCGGGGCCCTCCTCATCCCGAACCTGAGGTCTGCATGCACACAGGTGCCGGGACTGCTCCATGCTGCCCACTCCTGCTGTCCACACCCCGCCCTCACTGCTCTGCCTGCCGCCTGGCTTGCTTGTATCTGGGCCGGCGATGTTCACCAAAAATATAACATTTGCCACACATGTTATTTTAGGTGTTCGAGTAGCCACATTGAAAATGAAAGAGAAGCTGGTGAAATTAATGTGAAATAAAGTAACATATAGTCTTCCAGTTTTCTGAAGTACAGTTGACTATAACATCATATTAGTTTCCGGTGCGCAGTGCCTGAACCATGGACAGGTGTGTCTGCTGTGAAATGCCCACATCCATCCCCTCCAGTCATCTTTTTCTTATGATGAGAACTTTCAAGACCTACTCTCTTAACAACGTTCAAATATGCAATGCAGTATTGACAAGTATAATAATATATTAACCGAACAGATCAAAAAGTTACCATTGTAACGTGAGTCAATACAAAAAACACCGATGAGACGCTTCATGCCTTCTCTCCGCCCTGCGTCTGTGCCACCTGGTGAGCATTGTCCACTCCAGCCCAGCCCATCCTGCTGGCCACCGGGAGGCCCACAGCAGCTACACAGGCCCTTGGCTGCTGTCTGGGGCCCGGCCGCCCCGCTGGAGCCCGACACCCCTCAGCAGGGCGCCCCAGGTGGGCTCAGCAGGCCCTAGGCCGGGCCCCTTCCCTGTCCCCTGCTGGGCATGGAGGGACAAGACGGGACGAGGCGGGGGCACAGGGAGGAAGTGTAACGAGGGGCTCCAGGTTGATACTCACCCCACCGGGGAGCCCAAAGATTCTCTCCAGATCAGGTGGCGTGAGGACGTCCCTGCCCACCACAGAGCCCTTGAAGCCGGGGGCGTAGGCCTCCACACAGGCAAACACTGGGTGCCAAGTGGCAGGGAAATGGGGCAGAGTCAGAGGAAAGAAGAGGCCTCATGGCCGTACAACTTGGTCCATTTACTTACATTCATTAAACGCTATTCCCTTAAAACGCGTTTATTTTATCCTATGCAAATTGCATCTCAATAAGCAAACATCAAAATCAGTCCACAGGCAAGAAAACAAGCCAGTACAAAGATTGTGGGTCTCAGGCTCCTCCCTCTCTTCCCTCTCCTTACCTAACCCTCCTCAAAAAGGCAAAGCTTTGCTCACCTCATTGCTTTGCTCCAGCTGTTTCTTTAGAGTGGAAGGCCCTTTGTTGCTGATGAACTCTTACTCACCCTTTACAGCCCAGTGCAAAATGTCCCTTCCTCTGGCAAGCTCTCCCTGTCTCTCTGGCTCAAGGCTTTCTCCTCTGGTCCAGCGCATGCTCTACTGTAAGACTGGATTCCTTCTCAGCCGCCCCCACCCCCCATCCCCCATGAGCAACTCGAAGGCAGGACCTGTGTGTTCCCTTCCTTGGCCCGCTGCCTGGCCCTGCAGGCATTCACAGTGTGGACCCAGCTTCCTGTGCGCCTCACCCCTTGGGACAGGCCCTGTGGGTGCTGACCTGAATGGTACAGGACAGGCAGCAGGGGAGGGGCCCTCAGGCTGCAGGGCCAGCCCAGCCCAGGACTCTGGAGACCGGACAGTCGGACAGTCTTTCTCCTTACCTTTGTCTGCATAAGCATTTTTCTCCTGCTCGGTCCAGATCTTGCCTCCGGCCAGTGAGTAGGGAGTGTACTGAGTGAAGAGGGAGAGGACGTGGCAGCCAGCGGGAGCCAGGGTGGGGTCCAGCGCAGAAGGGATGCAAAGCTCGATCATGGGCCTGAGGCACAGGGTTGGGGAGGGGTCAGGGCAAAGCGCAGCTGCCTGGAGGAAAGGGGCTGGCAGCCTTTGTGGGGTGTCTGGGCACAAAAGCAAGGCCTGGGGTGAGATGACACCAAGGCAGGGCCAAAGGTCTCTGAAGAGCCGCAGAGCTTGGGGGGGGGGGCTCCTCAAAGTGTAACCCTCCCCCGCCCACAAGCTGCCTTGGCTCCAGGCCCCCAAGTCCCCAGCGTCTCTGGGCCTACCCAGCCCTGTGATGCAGGGCCTGTGCTGACCTTCCCCACCACACACCTGTACTGTGACCAGACAGACAACATGTGCGAGGGGAGAGGCCAGGCTAAGACAGCAGGTGCTCAGGAAGCTGGTAAAACCCCAACTTCCCCATCTGACATCCTGGTCCTGAGCAGGTAAAGCAACACAGAGCAGCTGGGGCTGCCTGACACCCACGAATAACTTGCTGTTTCCTACCTGCCCCCCCATAACACCTGTTCTACGTGGCACACATTTTTCGTGTGCTGTCCGAACCTGACCACCCTTCAAAGCCACATGCCATGCATGCCACTTCTCCCCACTTCCCTCATTTAACAACTTTTCCTCTGAACTTGGGTGCCCACAGGCATCTCAATTGTAATTTTTCCAACCCAAACTGAACACCTGGCATCCCCTGAAGCCTGCTCTGCCCTCTGCACACATTCTTCCCCTCCTAATAAAGAGAAACACCATCTTCTGAAGCTCCTGTTTTGCTGTTCATACCCCATTTCTAGCCCAGCAGCACATTCTGCCAGTTTTATCTTCAAATACCCAAGCCTGGGCCCCTTAGAGCTTCTGTTGCCCCTGCCCTGGTACAAACCACTGTCCTCATTCCCTGGGATTCTGCAGAAGTGACCAGTTACACAGGTGCTCCAACTTTCTCTACACAGTGGCCAGAGTGGCCAGTCAGGCCCAGGCCCAGGCCATCTAGCAGCTCCAGGCCCCCTCCTAAGCTCCCTCCCTGTTCTCACTCACCAGTCACTCTGGCTTCCCCAGGTGCCAAACACAGTGGCACACTCCTGCCCCAGGGCCTTTGCACCTGACTTTCTGTCTGAATGTTATTCCTTTGTACCTTGGATCATGCCCCTGCTGGGCCCGTAACTCCCTCAACATGTATCTAAAACAGAGTCTGGCATGGAATAGATTCTCAGAACATTTCAGTAGCTACCTGCCAGCGTGGGAGATGCTGTTCCTGCCATGGGTGCCCCTTCTGCGCGGAGGTAGGAAATGACTTAAGAAGCACTGAATGACTATGGTTTATCAGCGACAGGTAATATCAGTGGCAGGTAAGAATGCGGGCCTGTGGAGTATACGGAGCAGGGTGGAGTGCGCTGGGGGTGTCCGGGGGTGGGAACACCGTGAAGGTGTCTGAATCACAGAAGCTGCTTTTCTCTCCTAGATGGCATTTCCTCCAGTTCCTATAAATGCCAATGCTGTTCTCTGGGCCATCGTTTGCCTCTCTGCTGACCTGGTCAAATGTGTCTTACCTTTCCCCCTTACCTGGCCCCCAGAATTCAGTTCCTATCTAAAACTTACCCGTGGATTTAGGTAGGCCCCCAGCCACTGCGAATGTTTCATGCCAGGGGGAAGGTCCTGGGGTGTCTGGAGGAGCCCCCGCCCTGGTCTTTGTGTAATAACACCCAGGGCACGGGAAGCCCACCCACCTGCGGGAAGGCAGGCCGCCCATGGCGTCCTCAAAGGCCTCGTGGAGCAGGAGGGTGTCTTCGCAGTTCAGGTGGATGGAGCACTGGTGATGGGGCAGCGGCTGGCCGCCAGGAGTGTTGGGGGCCGCCAGGAAACTGGGCAGCCGGTCAACAGCCACTGAGGGACCAGAAAGGAGGGTGAGGGCCCGAAGGCCAGCTGGGTTCTCAGAACCCCGGGACTCGCCTTTCCTGTCCATCTCCCTGCCTGTCCTATTGGTGGACTGGGAAGGAAAAGGTTGAAAAATCGTTTCACCTTGAAATTGGGGGGCAGGCTGGAGTCCAGAAAATAGAGATGATGACAGAGGTCTCCAGGCCTGGAGATTTCACCCTCAGAGACGGTCACAAGGGACAGCTCTGAACCTGGGGTGCTTCTTACCGTTGATCTTGGTGACAGGTGACGAGGTGTCCAGTTGAGAGATTCTCCCCACAAAATCCTCAGGAAGCCACTCCTGGAAGAAGTTTCCAGAAAAGGCCTGGGAACTGCCTTCTTTCTTTCCTTACACTGTCCCTGAACCTCTATCCCCGGAATCCTCTCTGTCTTTCAGAGCTCAGCCAAACCACCTGTCTCCAGGACCTCCTTCTGCTCGGTGCTGACCACCTTTTCGCTAAGCCCCAGCAGGGTCCAGACCATAAACAGATCAAATAGCTCCTGTCGTCTGTGGGCTTCTTTCTCCCTCTGTTCTGTAAACTCTTTGAGGTCTTGATTATCTCCCAGTTGCTTTAATAAGATGATTTCGCACTGATGTTTGGTGAGTTTTATCAGTGAGATCACTTAGAAAAAGTGATACTTTGCCCTTAACAATAGACCCACAAACGGTTGGGAGCTTCAGCCCACAGGCTTACTATCACATCTTTTGGGGACCAGGAAAGCATGATCAGTTGCAAAAACTGCTTCCCCTCTCCCTCATAGGCATGCCCCATTGTAACATCTTACTTGGACTCTGGGTTTGGCCAAAGTCAGCAAGTAGGACCCAAACAGAAGCCGGAAAGCATGACTGAGTTTGTTCACTTTTGCCTCTGCCAGATGCTGAGAACACGCCTGGAAGGTCGTGCTTGGGGACAGAAGTCCCTGGAACAGAGCTGAGTCGCCCTGGTCATGTGGGTGGACGTGTCCTGTACCAGCTCAGCCAGCCAGACACCGCTGAGGCCGGCAGGTCCCACTAGCGACCCACGGCTGATGCACCAGTGAGCTCAGAGGAGGAAGACCCCAGCTTGGCAGGTGAAAGCAGTATTTCTGAGCACACCTCAGCGGTTGTGCTGGAGGTCACCACGCAGCCTCCGTATGGCAATAGGTAACTGGCCAGGGGATCGAAGTGGATCAGCAGGCAGAAACCAGCAGGCAGAAATCCGGATTGATAGTCGGACTCTTGACTCTGCCAACTGCCAGCCCGTGGCCTGGCCACCTCACCTCCCTGGACCTCTCTCCTCACCCGGGGCTGTGCTCCCTGCCCTGCTAGGTGAGGAAGACAAACACTGGCTTTCTGCATCCAGGGAGACTCGCATCCCCCACCTGATGTAGCCCTGGCTGTCTCGATCCCCCCACTTGCCAAGCCCTGACCTGGCAGATCCCTTACCTCGCTCCTCAGGCCTCACCTGTGGGGCCAGCTTCAGGAAGGTGATCTGCGGCGATGCGTTGGACAGCACCACTTTGCTCCTCACCTCTGTGCCATCCTGTAGCAACACTCCTTGGACAGACCCTCCACTGCTCACCTGTACCTTGGCCACTGGCTGGAGCCCACCAGAAAGAGGTTCCGGAAACCACCAGAAAGGAAACCCAGGCTGGGGATTTCTCACTGTCTGCACGTCCCCCAGGCACTCAGAGCCTCCTCATTCCAGCCCGGGCCCCAGACCCAGCTCCCTCTGAAGCCTCTGCCCACCCCCTCCAGCACACAGCCTCAGCCAGCATTTGGGCCAGTGGCCGTGAACTTGAAGGCAGGCAGGCGGCTGGACTGGGATCTGGCCGGGAGCTGCGCAGCCACTGACAAGCTGCAGAAACTTCCCCTTGATTCCGACCCACCCAGTCAGAAAAGCAAAAGACCTTCGGAACCCCAGGTTTGGGCCTATCCTGGGGCCGTTGCCAGTACTCAGGTGAGAGGCCACTCACCTTCTCAGTGAAGATGCTTGCTCCATGCGCAGTGGCTGAGCTGGCGATGGCGTCAGAGAGGGCACCCATGCCTCCTTGGACATAGCCCCAGGCCCCGTGCACCCCCTCCAGGCTGCCCATCACGTGATGGAGCAGCACATACCTGAGGACAGACCAGCAGAGTCAGGGCTGGGTGGGGGTGGTTAGTTTCTTCTGAGTTCTCAGTGCAAATCTTTTCCAGTCTTGTGTCCTTTAGCCGCCCCCAGCCCCCACTGGTCCTTCCCCACTGGCAAATGAGCTTCAAATGGCCAGAGCCCTTTGCCTCCTGCATGATGTACTGTCCATCGCAGAGGCGTCTGGCCAGACCCTTAGCGCCAGCAGCGCTGTGGTCATGCCCACACCTGCCACTCCAGGATCCCTGAGCCCCGCCCCTCCATGGCCACCTACCTGCAATTCCCCCGGGGCAT